CAGAAAATTAAACAAGTCGGTATTAAATTTTTAAACTCGCACATTAACAAAGTTTTAAACGTGTTTTTTTTTCTATTCACGTTTGAATAATAGACGTTCTTTGAGCGGCGACATAAGCTAAGCAAGCACAGCAACATAATCTAAGAAGGTACAGCTTGTGCACTTGGATGCAGTGGCCATGAAATCCACGCGATATAATCAACGCATGCCGGACCTGAGGAGTCAATGCCTATAAATCGGCGAGATACAAACGCGAGATAAACTTTATGACGCCTGAACTTGAGCTCGTTGTAAGGGCTTCGTCGTGGGAAATAGCGCTTATGATGTATGTCTCTATTCTGCTGCTTTTATTCGCTATGCTTCCCGTAACAAAACGCGAGATATTTTCGCGCGCGCCGGCCACGCCTCCTCCATCGTCGTCGTTACGTCAGCAAATTCGCGCTTTCCTCCATCATCATGTCTTGCACACATATGCCGCACCGTTCACGCGGCTGGTTATAAAAGGTGTTGCATAAAGTAATTTCGCACCGGCGCAGCTGTGTAGACCGGCGCGCATTGCCAAGATAAATGCGACTCCCGAACAAGCAAATGTCGACCAAGAATAGAGGACGGATGACATACTAACGTGTACGAACTACGTACAACCGACCGAAGGACGTCCTCAAGAAGGTTAATTAGTACGTAGAAAGGCAGAAAAATTTGCGACCCCTTGGCAAAAGCACCGGCACTCAGCTGCAACGGCCTCGTTCCAGAGTCCACTCACCGTCTTGGAGTCGGGGGCGGCGCGAGGATGCGATGACCGGTTGCGAAGAAACCGTTTATATCGATGTAAATCGACGAACGTTCTGCACGACGGTGTCACCGGTGCAACGGCGAAACCAGACAGACCGCGACCGGCGACGAACGGAAACACGTGCATGCCCGCGACGCCAACGCCGCGGGCGGGACGCATCCGCTTTTCTGCATGCGTGCACACAGAACACCATGCGTGCAGCCACAGATGCCAGCGCCATGGCCAGGCCATGCAGCAAAACCGGAGAACACCTCTGGCGAAACTCGTGGCCCCACACGCGTCCATAAGTCACGCGTAGTAGCCGCGTGCAGTACCCGCTGACTTTACACATAAGCACGTGGACAATGTGTCTAGCCCACCGCGACCGCATTTAGACGGGGCGAAATGCAAGAATGGCCGTGGTATGTTCGGTCCGCAACCCCTGTCGGTACGGAGTTTTCCGCTACAGCGACTTCCGAGTTTGATTAAAATGTACCTCTCCATTCGTGGCACGGAAGACAGTTTTTGCAAGTGGCTCGTAAATGCGTTAAATACAACTAGCGTGGGCTCGAACGATCGCAGTTTTAAATGCGTGAAAAACGGTCGATTATCGAGAGGGAATTTCTATAGTACCGCGCCGTGCTTCAATACAAGTGGTGATCGGCCGTAATCTCGCGTTTTCTTGGAACTAAAGAACCTCTATGGTTTCTATATGTAAGGAAAGACGCAAAACAAGAGAGACTGCACGCGTATACTCACGGGCCATGGCTGGGCTGAGGTGAACGAGCTGCTCCGGCGTGCGCCCTACTCCACTGACACAGAACAACTCGAGAGAGTGCGCTACAGCGAGAGTGTCCAGAGTGTTGCGTTGCCGATTAGATACCGGATGCTTAGAACAGCATGAAGCAGCTGGGTTATACCGGATGCCTCTCAGTCATGGCCATATCCACTCCGCTGATACGAACTTTCTCTCCGTGCAGATCGAGGGGATCCTTATCAGATAAGGCCCCCGCGCCGCCTTTATCGACAAGGAGGGAAGCGTGACCAAAAGAACCGTATTGCTATGGGGTGGCCAGCTATCAAAAAACTAATTCCATATCGCTTTGTCACATAGCAATCTCACCATGCAGATGACTCCATAACACGAAGGTCATATATACACTTGAAGATCTACTGATGACTGTTTTAGTTTAGGAGCTGCAGATCTCGCGCTATCGTCACTTGAGTGCTCCAGTTAAGAAGTCAAATGTGTGGATGTATAATGATACGATTTTTCTCATCATGGATATCCAGTGTTCTCAGGAAAAAATTGTTGACATGAGAAGTGTTCTCTGTAAGTATACCAATATATTGCTTATAATCTTAAAATTTGACTCGTTTGTTATTGTAGGAATACAATGTATTGACGACACTTACTGTGCTTTGTGTGTTGAAATTAATGATTGTTAACTTGAAATGCATATATTCCCCTGCTGTAATGCCTGCTAATGGAGCTGCAGGTATCTAATTAATAAATACAATAGCTATTCTATCTGATTGCTGATATAACAAGTGAAAATGGGAAAAACAGCGCGAAAGGACACATACCACAAGTGAAGGCTCACACAAGACGGGCACCGTGTTCCTTCACTCATTCTACATCTCCTTTGGCACTTTCTTATGTGCACGAATGAACAAGTAGTCAAACAAGCCACACTTCAGGAACAAGTGAAAGTTTCATTGACTGAGTGCAGCACCGAGTTGAGTGAAATGAGTGCACTTAAAAGTTCCGTGCATGGTACTTCATTTTGATCTTGTAATACATGGCCCTAATCAGTAGCTGTAACATTCAGGCAACCACACTACATACAGTGGACGGTCATAATGTAGTATACTAAGGTCATTCTCCATCTGGAGGTACTTCCCTGTTTGACATTTTGCCCCACATAGCGAGGCATTATGCACACTCGCTAGTTTAGCAGATCAGCATACTACAGCGCCATGTGTGTATGTACTTGCACATGTAATGTTCATGCATAAAAAGGGGTAAAAGAAAAATATGTAAATGATATGCAGATATTGTTGCAATGTGTACGCACACCTCGTTTGTACCATGAACCAAGCTTTTGCAAGAAACCGACATGAATGCCATTCACAGTGGTGCCAGCTCCCATAATGTGAAACGTCATTCGTGTTCATTACTAACTTAATATTTATTGTTGGATATATGTAATGCTAATAAATGAAGTGGATTCAAACTACATACCTTTCAACAAGTAGAAATGATGAATTTTGGCCAATTCTGCTGCGCTGTACTTTTTCACCCAATCTCTTGACTAGGGGGACCACCCCCACCTGTACCAGCCTCGCTCAATTGAGTATTGTTGGAACTTTCGTTCTACACTAGGCAGATAAAACTGAACATTATATAGAATTCTATATGATGTCTTTTGGTTTTTGTCACATTCAAGCTTCCACGTACTCATTTCAGCACCCCATTTTCAGATTTTGAATGACTACAAAAAGATTTTCATGACACTGTCTACAGGTAAGGTTCAAGGCTAAAAATGGGCTAAGACAGACTCTATCACATTGAATCAGATGGGAGGTTATATGCAAAATATTGTTTCATATAGACAAAATGCACGCTATAAATTTGTTCAAATATTTTCTTTGAAAATGATGTTACATGAAAAATTCTGCTGTTACTTACTGTTTCACACTCGAAAGACAACTGCAAGTTTTTAAGAACAGTGCTTAGTCATGGAAAAGACAACATGCCTGACAACTTGTGCTTGTACAAACGCTGGTGCACCCATACACTTGACAGTTTCCTAGGCGACTCCAAGTTCCATTCCCGGACTAGCTGTGGAATATGCAGGCAGTGTTCAATTTACCAAATGCTATACCCTTAGTTTCCAACAACAGAACATTTAGAATTTTCCCCTCACGTCTTAGCTACATAGGGACAAACTGTTCCACCTAAGTAGTAGCTCTGAGGACGATGTCATGTGCTTGTGCGAATAGGAAGTTTGAAGCGAATAGTAATTTGGTCGAACAATGCTGAATCGAATATATCATATATTATAAAGAAAATGAGCAGATTTGTCAAGACCCAAGTAACCAGCACAATATTTTTTTAAAACTTAAACAAAGCAGGCACAACTGTTTTTTTTTTTTTGTTGTTGTTCAAAGAAAAGTGGAAGCAACTTGGAAAAGTAGCACAATAAAACTTCCAGTAAAATGGAACTGATAACCCATAAAATACATTACATTTTAAAATTTAGAGCCTATAAGTCGGTTTAACAAGCTTTTAAACGTATAAAATTATGGAACCATGCCAGGGTAATATGTTCATTTAACCTTGAAGGGGGGCATTGCAGCAGTGCAGATCTTTCTTGAATCTGCACTTTTACGATACAGCACCCCTCTAATGCAGCGAAACCATCTTTACAGAGGGTTACACGCGTATTGTTATACAATGTCTATTTGTTCATTTCAAATACTTAAAATTTTCCAATAATTTAAATTCGAATCGATGTGAATTCAAATACCATAATAGACCCTTTTCACAAATACACCACCTGACGGTGAGCTTTTTATCAGTTTCACTTCACAACAGAGCACGGGATAGCTAGCGCCATCATGAGGGCATGGAAAGCAAGCCGTCAAATGCGCGAGTGCTGAGATGTTTGTGTTGGCTGCTAGTTCTCCATATCATCTGCTGCAATCGCACTGCTTTCTAGTTTGAACGAGCTCCTAGTACTCTCCAGTAAAGCTTGCTGAGCTGCTTCCGCTGCACAATGAGCAATATTTTGTACCCTTCAACGTGTTGGACGAGCAGTTTGGCTTGTTATGACTGGCAATGCATGGTCCGGCCTGCAAGACACTCTCATTTGCGTGCCCTCCCGACGCGGTCCGCGTCCTGCAGGAACGCAAGAGGTGTCTGTGTGCGCTGCAAGAAACGCGCATCAGCGTCGCTGGCACACACAGCCTGCGTCGTCTGCTGCGGTGCCCTCACAATGGCGGCAGACTGTAGTTCGCGTGCGCTGCGCTAGGGGCGCCCCTTTTTTGAAAAGGGTCTATATTCGTTTTCATATTCAAAATCCTCAAATACTTGCTCAAGACTATGTAATCACTATAAGAATCTGCAATGCCTAGGGCACAACACACAAGGGATGATGCAGCCATGCGCGAATCTACGTGAACGCTCCAGCAGCGCCACAACGCACCAGAGATAGAAAGGAAGTGCACGAAACAATACGCTCTTTTATTATACATAATGCGAAAACAATATAGACCAAGGCATTAAAATCAAGTACAACCAATGCATCTGTGACAGTGGCGAGGGATGAGGTGGTGGTGGCGATGAGAGGACAACCCCCGAGGAAGAGAATAAGGGAGAGGGTGCACATTCTTCTCAGGTGAGGTACAACCGGTGATAGTCATTTGTGCCGAATGGAGCGTTGCACTTGGGACACTTGCGCTGGCGGGTCTCGTAGCGCGTCTTGAGGCAGTCGTAGCAGAAGACGTGGAAGCATTTGATGAGCACCGCGTCCTTGCGTTTCACCTTGCAGGAGGGACAGGTCAGTTGCTCCTGCGACAAAGGAATACGTAGCATTACGGTTGAACGTCTGGCTGAGCCAAATTACTTTTAAAGACCAGGGTTCATAGTACCCGAGTGAAACAAAATTCAAAGTTTTAAGGACTTTCAAGGACCTAAAATAACACTTGAAACTGCAGAAAATGAAAGCACATTTTACAGCATAAAAAATTGTACTTCACTTTATTCGTACGGTGGGCATCATGAACGCACTCAAGTTACCATGGACTGTAGAGTCGCTTTTGTGTTATCAATGTGTTTTGCACTCTTCATGTGACTTTTAAGGGCAGACTCTCCGAAAGATGACACGTCGAAGCTCCTCCCCCATGAGAAGATTTTGCCTGATGCGAGTTTGACGTATCCGGTGCAATCCACTCCCTATTGGCGGCAATGCATAACCAAGACGGCTGGCATTTGCACTTGCTTGGCATAGTTCCACCACGAGTGACGCGACTGCAAATATCCGTGCACACTTGCATAGTCTGCACAAAAAGACAGGCTTAGCTCTGTCGCAGCTGTAACCACCCAAGCGCTACCACAACTACAGTGTACTAGGAGAGTACACTGTACTAGTACAACAGTACAATATGGCTAGAGAAAAGAATTGGATTGGATGGTTTATTGGCTTGAGAGCACATAATTGCCAGGCGTGCAAAATAAATCCACTAAATGATGGCTGAACGAACTTGGACAGACAAAATTCAAGGACTTTTCAAGGACCCGCAAACAAACTTAAGAATTTTCAAGGCCTTCAAAATGTCATTTCATATTTCAAGGGTTTTCATGGGTTTCAAAGACTGCTACAAGCACTGTTTTAAATATGATGGTCTATTGTGTGATATACTTCAACAAAGAAATTTCGGTCTGCCTTTCTGTTGGTCTATGTGTAGCACAATTCAACTCTCCCCCCCCTGCGGCAAATGTTTAAAGCACTTCCTCAGTGCCCAGCCATCTTGATTTCCATGCTGCGTTCATACTTGTGAAGATGGTCAATCAAAAAGCAAGTATTACACATATTTGAGATAAATATCAATATGTAAGTACTATAAGGGAGTGTGTTTATTACTAAAATGCATAGGTACATAATTCTAAAGAACACAGTGCTTACTACGCTGCGCTGACAATGCCGCATTATGAACGTAAAAAGTGGGCGTTACCTATGCTTCACTAAAACGACACTGTGCTGCCACCTACCGATGGCTCTGCATTCTAGAAACAACTTTGGTTTCTTGAAATTACTGCCAGATGGCGTCCATATCTCATGCAGCGCCTACTCACCGGTCTCCTTGCACAGAACGTCAATTAAACGTTTTATTACCCCTCTACAGACAGAAGACTCCCATTTTTCGACGACCTTAGCCAGCGAAGTACACAGACAACAAATTAATGTTGCAATCTAAAAAGCCTCAGTGAGATGGGGTAACAATGGCATGTTGAATCAACTTGCGAAAAACCACTGCATGGAACAAAAACAAAAAGATGTTCACCTCACAGGCCTGCTTCCCTTTTCAACGTTAAAGATGTCTGCATAAAGGCAGCACCAAGAAAATGTAAGAACTTCACTCTTCCAAACAGTAGCTCTTTCATGTAGCGTGTTCATGCAACAACTTTCGCCTAACGAAGTCTGTTTCCAACAAGTATCAAAGTCAATGTCCGATTTCCTGTACCCTCAAGCGATCGCGAAAATGTCAGGAAAATCGGCCAGTTCGGAAAAACGAACGCAAACGAAAACACACTTTTTAATACGTATTTTTCGCTGACCGAGAGGGTCGCGTCGGGAGTACAGGGTTCTCATTGCAATTCAGCACATGCATCGTTTAGGTGCCTTTGAAAAGATCCGCAAGAAAGAAAGGTAAAGAAAAAAGTCTGGTGAAGCCGACGCAACCGCATTTGTAAACACATAGGTGCAAAAAAAAGTAGCTTATTTTCGTTTGCACAACGTTCCACTTGCCCGTGATGATGTCTGCTTCAATTTCAGTTAATGTCATGCAGTCACTGTACACCAGTGACAGTCAGTGCTTGCGTCAGTTCCGAGCTCGTAGGCTATGTAGACGCTGCCTCTTCGACTTTGGCGCCAAACTTGTCCGAATCTTTTGTAACTTGAAGGATTTCCTCATCGGCCAATCCGCACACAGCTCAAGGTCGGCGAACCCCTTAAAAGTTATCCCGGCTGGAATTGAAATACCGGCAATGTGTACATCGTCGAAGGCAATGTCTACCACGGGTGGAAGTTTGTCGCACATGCTGTCCACTCCGGGCAATACGGCCATCTCAGCGTCCAGTATGAAGCTCAGGTGGTGAAAACAGTTCTAGAGGGTCTGCTGCATAACCACCTTCCCTGAGTCTACAAGCATGCAGACGGCAGACCATAGGTCAACAGCGTAGCTTTTCCCGCTGTCGAAGCAACGGCTGCACAATGCCATGAGGCCTAAGCTACGACTGGTAATGAACTGGCGTGCGCTGGATTGCGGCGTTTTCGGTTTCGAGTGTACGACAGCCGTGGCACAGTGGGTTCGAGGGTCCGAAAACAACCCATATGGCGGCGGCGGTGGTATTGACTTGAATTCTGCGGTTAGTGGTAGGTAACACGTTAGAAAAATCTAATGACGAAAGCTATAAGCGTCTAAAATTTCAGACTTTTCAATATATTTACTTTATTGTGAACTTGACGGTGCCACAAATGAGTCCGGGAAATCAGGCATGTCTGGGATTTGGGGCATCCGTGAAATCGGACATTGACTGTACTACTGCTGCTACTACTATTACACAGACAAGTGAGCACACATCTAAGGCAGTTCAGAAGTACGTACATTTTCTACAAAATTAAAGGTCTAGTTTTTGCCAAATATCGGTAACAAGAGCACAAAAAAGAAAAACAATAGGACACCTTGTACACACCTTGTACTCCTTGATCTCCTCCATGAGGACCTCATCAGTGTTAGTGGCCAGCTCAAATTTTTTTGCACGTTCGACCTTACGGCGTAGTGATAAGATCTCCTCTTGTAGCCTCTTGGTCTTGAATGTCTCTTGTGACAGAACTGCAGTGCGATCCGTCACTATGCTCTGCAACGGACACCGGTGCATGAACGATGCATTGTCTTTTACAGCAGCGTGTTCAAGTTAAGGATTTAGAGTGCACATAATGTAGCAACCCTCATTTGCCGATAGTGAGAATAGCTGCACAAGCGTGACAGGCTTTTTAAAGAGCAAGCAATATATGCCTGAAGTATACAGATTATTGTGCGCAACAAAATTACATAATGGTACCATGAAATGTGCCAAAATCACGGAGGAAGAAATGAAAAACAACTGCATTGTGTTTCATTGGTTTGATCTTATAAAAATTTGTTGTATTTCATGATGCCATTTCAATTATTATAAATATGAATCCATATCAGCTCAACCAGTCAGTGTTACTGAACAAAACTCAAATAGGATAAAATCCCTGCATGACCTTGTCACAGATTGATGCTTGACTGCTGAACTCAAGCATAGCTCCACCATAACACAACTGTAAGTACCAGCTGCACACCTTAACTTTCAAATACGAAGCCACCAGTCAAGCATTACGCAACATGCCGACCTCTCTGTCGTTGCAGCCATTCAGCAATTGTGCTGTCTGGCACGAAATAGAAGCAAGGTAAAAACGCACACCCTTGCATGAGCATAGAAAGGCAAGTTGCTCACCTGCGCATCCCTGAGCTGTGCCAGGTATTTCTCCAAATGCAGCTTGAGGTCGGCTGCCGACTGGGCTGACTCGACAGCTTTGCGACGGTGCACCTCTGCGGCTTGTTGCCTCAGGCTGAGCTCCTTCTCGACGGTTGCCAGGCTGTTTTGCAGCAGACGCTCTTTCTCTTCAAGTTTGCGCACCACCTGGTTCTGGGCTTCCACCTGTTGGTTGCATGAGAAGCAAGCGCGCGCTCAGTTTTTTGTCACTTTTCACAGCCACGGATGCAGGAAATACTGCTTCCACGTAGCGCGGCTCCCACCAAATTTAAACCTCTGGTACCAGTTCCAATATTACCCCAACCTCGTTGTAGGCCCTCGAGGTAGATGGCAGAATGGGTGACAAAATAAACAGGGGTTGCGGATATCCCAAGGTGACATCAAGCGAGAGAAATGTACCTGGGCTGGCCCTGTAATGCTTCGAACAGACAACAGCTGGACACTAAGACCAACAAAAATTGGGCACCCAGGGAGGGGAAATGCTGTCGCAGGAGGTCAGATGCAGTGATGAAATTAGGAAGCTTGCCGGGATAAAATGGAATAAACTGGCACAGGGTAGATCGCTACAGAGGGAAAGTCTCATTACGCACGTCTCATAACAAAAAAGTAATGCAACAGAAAAAAAGAACTACACAGGTTGAGTTCTACAAAAGCATCAACAAAGACAAGTGCACAGTTTATTATTACATGTACGAAACTTACTGCTCATAACTAGCATCCAGAAAATATTGACATGTATAGATAAATAGCGTTCAGTTTACATGGAGAGGTAAAAGTGCATACATAATTTTTCACAGAAAGCTTTGCACTCTTTCTACGTTCTGCTGCCTGTCTAACCTTAACACAACTTGGTGAAAATAGTGAGCCCCTGTACAGCGTTTCATACATCAAGGTGCACGCAAAATAGAAGCTGGCTAGACGTCTTGTAGTAGATGCACCTGGAGTCAAGAAACAGTTGAACAATTTTGCCACGTGTAATGTGACTTTTTTTTTTTTTTTCGATTTTGGACTGAGTATTACAATAAAGATGCTTCGTGCATTACCAATAAACAATAGATTGATTGATATGTGGGGTTTAACGTCCCAAAACCACCATATGATTATGAGAAACGCTGTAGTGGAGGGCTCCGGAAATTTAGACCACCTGGGGTTCTTTAACGTGCACCCAAATCTGAGCACACGGGCCTACAACATTTCCGCCTCCATCGGAAATGCAGCCGCCGCAGCCGGGATTTGAACTCGCGACCTGCGGGTCAGCAGCCGAGTACCTTAGCCACTAGACCACCGCGGCGGGGCAATTTTACCAATAAACGAACCCCATCATTTACATGGTTCATTTAGCATAGCATCTCATGGCCTCCGCAATCAGTTTCGGTAGCGCGCAGCCAGAGCCAACAACGAAATTCAAGCTTGAGACGCACAGACTTATATAGTTTCAGTGTTTCGCGGCGCATGGGACGAGAAAGAGCAGAAAGGAGACACGTTCTCATCTTCATTCCATGCACTGTGAAACCCTGAAAATATGCTGCACCAACTAGCCCGACGCTCAACTTTGGACCGATAGCCCATTATGTCATACATGAGGCACAACAATGCGAAAGCTACGCAAGCATGCCGTTCAGCCAGCAAGATGAGCAAGTACACATGCCTCGTGCTAGGCTTTAGTCTTCATAAACGCTCGTGCAAGCCGAACATGAGCCCACGCATGATGTGACAAAACAGGCTGCAAATTAAACACAAAGTGACACCAAACAATCCAGAACAGCTTATCGACAACCATATGACGGGGTTCGTTTACATCTGATGCACAAAGCATCTTCATTAGCTACTCAGCCTAAAGCCAAAAATAAATCGTATGACAGGTGGTGAAATCATGGCACTATTTCAATGAGTGAGCACACATAGTGCAAGAATCTTGCTAGCCTCCACATCGTTGCACCTGAGGTATGAAACGCAGGTATACAAATTTTGCTGGCTGAACTTCTTGCATAGCCTCCACATCGTTGCATCTGATGCATGAAACAGTTTATATAATAATTGTTAGGGTTCACTGCCCCAAAACAGCGATATTATCATAAGGGATGCCAGATTAAGTTTTGTAGTGGGGGTCTCCAGACTGAACTTCTACCATTTGGGGTTCCTTCACATGCACCTAAATCTAAGCACATGGGCCTCAACCATTTTCGCCTTCATGGAAAACGTGGCGGTCACGACCAGGATTCGATCCCGCGACCTATGACGCATCGAGCGGAGTACAGGAGCCACTGACCTGGTCTTGGAGGCGCGCAGCCTGCTCCATGAGCGCCACCTTCTCGTCCTGCAGCAGCTTGTGCACCTGGGTGGACTTGATGCGCTCTGACATGAGCTTGAAGTTGGCATCGTCCTTCTCGCGCAGCTGCTGCAACAGCCGCAGGTTCTGCTCCTGCATGTCCTCGAACGCTTGGCCCGTCACTTCCATCTCGCTCAGCAGGGCCTCCTCCTCCTGCTTCTGGGCGGCTAGGCTCTTGTGCAGGTTGTTCACCGTCTCCTCCAGGGCCCGGATCTTCTTCATGGCGTCCTCGTCGGCCAGCTTCCGGCGCTCCTTGCGCTCGTGCTCCACCAGCTTCTTCAACTGCTGCCGGTGCTCCTCGGCCTCGGCGCGCGCTTTCTTCTCGGCCGCCATGAGCTGCACATTAATTTCCAGAAAAGAAAGGGTCACCATACGCACCGAATGAATGACGAAAGAATGCACAATCGTCACAGCAGGAAAACACGTAGACAATGAAAAACAAAACCCTAATCTCGGCTCATGACAACGCTCAGCGTTTCAGCATCAGTAAAGGCACACCGCTTTTATTGCGATAGCAATTATATGGACACTCTCACCTGGATTTTGCCGAGAGTGTCGGCATCGATGTCATGCACTGTATATGTATATGTATCTACATATCTGAAAACACAAGGAAGAAAAAAATCCAGAAAAAAAGACCCCAACACATGGAATCGAACGTGGGACCTCCGCGTCATGATTGCGAGGCGTTAACCACTGAGCCATCGAGGGGTGGTACCTCCTTCAACGTTCAAACGGCAAGCTATTTATATCTACCACTTACCGCTGTTGGCAGGCATCTCGGGTGGCAACTATCGTGTTGTCAGCATTATCAGCAAGATGGCGCAGTGAGTGAGCAGTGGCTCTCATCTCTCACACGTACTTTTGCCCGCGTAGAGAATAAGGGGGTGTACGCTCGATCACGTGCCCTTATCTTGCAGTGGGGAGGATCGTACATTTTGGCTAGCCTGGGGGGCTTCGCCGGAATGACTCTATTGTAGTTACCGAATGCATAAAGGTCACTGCAATCGTTGCACAGCCTCCGTTTGTGAAAAGGGCGCACTTTTCAGACACAGCGAAGCAACAACTGAGACGCTTATTCGCGTTCATCTGTATCTGTGAGTACGCTTCGTGCGTCATAGTCATTTGTGCGTTAGAAACACAGGGCACGTTTGGATCTGCTCTCCATTCTGCGCGTGACCTTCCAATTTGTTGCTATCGCGTTCATTGCTTCATCTTTGCCACAATGCTGCGACTTTTTTACACCGCCAAAGTCACACAACTCGTCTGCATCAAAGGCTTGTTAAGGTCATCAATGCAGAGGCAGCCCTCAGGATTTGGGAAAAGTCATTCGAGTGTGACGCTGGGAAAAACCATCCTGCTTTAAACCTTTTCAAACCTGCCATCGCTCAATGTGATCATATTAGAGATGAACCGGCAGTGTGCATTTTTAAGACATGGCATGCATGCAGGCTATCCTTGTTGAAGACTTGTGAAAAAAGCAGAGAAGGAAATGCTACATAAAGCGACAGTGAGGATGAAATCTCGATGCGGGAGAGCTACAATGCGTGACCACATCCACACTGCTTTTACAAGCGTTTCTGAGCAAGGCCCGCGTGGACTGTAAACAACGCGTAGTATTGTGTCCAACCTTGCTGAGCTATCCAATACACAGAAACCACATTTCAATACAAAGACAGCACACATGACGCACATACTACAACAAAGAACAGGGGATGGGTACTGCCACTTCCCACAGTCCTTACTGGGCAGTGCAGTTTTAGTACAAATGAACACAATGACATTTGCTTCAATCTGCTCACCTGAACCTTGTCCCTTTGCTCCTTTGGTGCCCCCTTGTACATGTCCAATAGAAGCTTTAGTTCCCGTTGGGCCTCTTGCGACTTCCTGCAAAAGCACACACCTCGACATCTCAGGCACATGTTTTGCCCCGAGCGTGGCCGGGACCTTACGTCAACACAATGTTTGCAGTAGTTCTTACACAGAAAAGAAAATGACTTTTACAGATACTTTAGAACTCTGCAGAGGCGCTTTAGAGAGGCAACGCTACAGTGAATCCTCATTCCCATTTGCACCACGAGGGCATGCGTGAATGGCCTCTATTACAAACTTCTTGCCGTAAAAAGTGAATTGGTCAGATAGGCAGTCACTTTTGAACCATCTGCCCACCCCTCCCCCTCATTCAGAGGAAGTGAATGATGCTGTCGAGTTTCAATACGTTTTATCTAACTTCCGCAGCACAGGTATTCACGAACTTCACAGTGCTGATTCGTCATCTTTACAAAATGGCAGCTGACGATGACTCCGCAATGAAAAGATGGCTCTAAACATTAAGACTAGGACGACACGAGCAGCATGACGAAAGATGGTGCCATCTTTTCACTGTAGAGGAATTGCCTCCTTTTGATCCACGTAGTCGCAGACGGGAGCAATAATGGCTGTTGTCTGACAAGCACAGCCGAAATACTTTCCCATTCTTACAAAGGAGCTGTTGGCTACAGTGGTAGCAATGTATATGCTCTTGTACTTCCAATTTGCTGATTTTCCTAGTACCCATCATGGGGACCAAAATACATGAAGCAGGCTTGAGAAGCTTGTTTTACTATTCCTACAGCAATTTGGCAGCAGCCACTTCTGTCTTTGGCACAAAAAGCTGTTGACAGACTAGTGAAGGCAGGTGTTTTGCCACTGCTTAATCTTTGAAGGATTTGCACTCAACACTGCGCACCGTAGTGTCATGCTGCTAGGATTCAGCTAACGCAAAAGCTGAATGTGGTCTTTCGCCATGGCACTAAGTAAGTGTGCATGCCTTAATTTTTTAGAGTAGAATGTGGACACAACTTCTGCAGGCTGTATATGCGTGCTTCATCTTTGATTTGATTGCAACAGTACAGCAAAAAGTTCCACTGGCCAGCCTAGCTTGCAAGTAACTTCCAGCAAAATACGACCAGCTCCAGCTATCAACGATTTTCAATGATCAATGACGAAAGGGGAATGTCACATCGATCGTCAACTATGAGAGGTTAATGTCGGGAAACTGTGCGACACGGTACGACATTGCCTCAACAACACCAGTCCATACTACGTTAGTGGTGCACACAATAAAAATGCTCCCAATGCTCACTGGGGCCCTTAAATCGCGCATGGTTGGCAGGTGCCTTGCACAAGGCAATCCATGCAAGTATTCTTTACACTCATGAGCAAAAAGAAATGCCAACTGACTTCTCTTATGAACTAATAAGTCCCCCGAAGAAGCACATGACAACGAATAAAAAAAAGAGAGAGTGGGGACGGGGGGAACGCACTTGAGCTGCGCCTTGAGGTCGCGTATGATGTCTGCGTCGCTCTTGCCTTTCTCCCGCTCTGGGATCGTCTCTTCCTCAACCCTGCAGTCTTCCTCGTGGCGCGACACAGGCGTGTCCTCCCCGCCGCGTCCACCACCGGCTCCCAAGCCGCTAGCGCTGCCTCCCGACCCCACCGTGCTCGTGCTGGCACCCGACGACATTGGCGTCATGGGTGCGTCATCGCTACGTGTGGAGCCGCCCTCGCCTGATGACGACGGTGCTGATGGAGGAGCAGAGGCGGAGGTCACAGCCACATTAGACATCTCCAGCATCTGCCTCAGCTGCAAGAGGGGGAGAAGGTTAAGCAAGTTGGTTAGTATTCATTTTCGTATATATTAAAAGAAGAAAAAAAATTACACAGGGAATAGAAACCCCAAACAACAGAAAATTAGTAATATAGTACTACTAAAATGAAAATAACATTAGCTGATGTATACTTACTCCGCTAAACGCAGCTATACTTACACTGCTCTCAACTGTCATGTAACAAGAGAAATGCAAATGGCAATAAGAAAGGCATCAAAGAATGGACAAATCAGATCTGCTGGCAAGAGAGTGGGAAGAACTGCTCATCAGGTACACAACTTGACACAACATAGCATAGGTTCCTCTGGAAATGGTCGTATCGCGTCAGCGAACCATGGCTATGTATTTTCATTTCTCTCTAATGATTCTGATAAAGGTATCTGACAGTAAAATACCAGAAGGCCTTGCTAGTTTTCATCAGCAAACTAGTAGACAAGCTGCACACAGTTTCCAGCACATGCTGTATTACATATCTAAGGCTGGCCCACCTTGGAGCTCTAAAATGTGTTTGACTAGGTGCCACACTCGTGCTCAGGTGACAGTTAATTTCCACAGCCTGCTACAAGATGGCGCTAGTTAACTAATAACTGTCTTGCCAACTATGGCATCGTCATTGTCACCGTATCGAGCCAGATCGCATGGCATAGACTGCTTGTTTTAAAGGTAATAGCCCTACTGAGGTGCACTTGTTCGGCCCCAAGAAGTGTGCGCTGCTCATAGATTTTGAACGCATGGCACATGGCTTCAGTTGAGGCTGCCAACATGAGCTTCAGGGTGATCGGAATCTTGGGCAATACTTGGTGACATCTCTGGGAGAGCCTTAATGAGGTGAGCTCATCAAATGACAAGGGCACTAGATGCAACCGTGATGGCAGGGTAACAGCGCTCACTGTCAAATGGCAGTAGCAGCATTACTCAGCACAGCAGTCTGAGCCAGCCTTATCTGAAACCCATGCTAAACCAAAAATGAGAGTGCAGGTTTTACACAATTAAACAAGGTAGTGTATTTAACAAACCAATAACACCTTTACTAGCTGGATTCGAACCGCATGCTGACGTGATAAGCCGCACGTCATACAGCTCCCACAGCAACTGCTAAGCTTCCAAACAGCATATGTGCCTAGTCATTATGCATAGTGGTAGCCCTTTGCTAACAAAGCGCCAAATTTTATTTGCCTTCACATCCAACGCGACTTCAGCAGTACATGGAGCAGGCACTGCAATTGAAAAGCATTTGAAAATTCTCCTGCTAGCTAGAACACCACTACAAACTGTGCACTATGAGATTGTTCACGGTCACAATGCCCTATCTCCTTTAGAGGTGTCCATAATAATGAAAAAGTAGTAGCCGCATCACTGGATGTTTTGGATCCTCGTCCTCTTTCCTTTTATAGTTTAATTTGCTCCCTTTTCTAGGCTACACAAGATACAATCAACAAAAAATGGCCTGTCGCTGAATACCATGCCGGTTGAAACAGGCGCCAAAGTTCCAAACTGAAACAGTCACGACCGGAAACACTCGTAATGACATCAGTAATGAGTTTCCTCCATGTCACACCTTGTGGGGCAGGACAAGTCATTAAGCACTGCAGTGTACGTTGTGGGATAGGGGACCAAGAAAGAGCCATCCACCCACAGATGCACATGTACAAACCCAGAACAGTTTACATAATAGAGTGAATAGCACATGAAGACCTGCATTGTGGACACAGCTTTTGCATAAGCAAGTGGGAAAATATGGCTTGTAAAGGTGATCGCACACACAAACAAAAAAAAAACGACATAAAGAAACTTGTCAATATAGTTGATTGGGCAGGTTGGTGATTCACATGAAGTACTTGTTCCTCCTATCTATCCTGTACGCGTCTACGAATACCACTCTTTTTCAAACAATCATAAAGAAACTACTGCAGGCAAGTGCAGCGAGGGAGCTCACCTTCTGCACCTCTGATTGGGCCTCGCGCAGCTTGCGTTTGTTGCGGGAAACCTCACTCTTGAGCTGCCTGTTGTGGCTCTGCAGGCTCGTTATAATGTGCCGCATCTCCCGGTTGATTGGCTGAGCCTGCTCGCTGGACACCGACGATGATTCAAACTCGATGCGTAGATTCTCGTACTCTCGGCGAATCTGCATGCACGACGGGTATGTAGCACTATACTAGGTCGCACAACACCATCAATGTTGACTACGAGTAGTGGTCCAAGACTACCTGCGCAATGTTGTCCTCGAGGCGGATGACGTCGGAGCGAAGCTTTTTCTGGGCAGCCAGCTCGTCGCTCTCCATCTGCTCAATCTGGCGCGTGTAATAGTTCTTGCTGGTCGTCATGGTGTTCCGACACTCGTCTAGCTGCGTCTTCAGCTGCATGCTCTCATTGTACAGCACCGAAAACTGGCTCTGTAGGCACTTGTACTCGGCCGTGCTCACCACCAGGCTCTCGGGCAGCGACCGCAGCTCTAGCCGCAGCCGCTCTACCGTTTTCAGGGCCTCCTACGCAACGCGGCCGGTTACTCTCGAATACGAGAGAACTCCTCGGTCAAACCTTTTGGCAATGAGCCACCGTGCAAACGCACCTTGTGGTCGTGCTGCAGCTGCTCCAGTTCGAGCAGACGTGCCGATGCCAGCTCCCGCTGCTCCTCCAGCTGGCTCTGCAGGTCCTCCAGGCGCAGGTTGGACATTCCTCCACCACCTGAACCACCACTAGAGCCAGCCGTGGGCACGGTGTCACAGCCATCCACCTGCACACGCACAAACACGCAGTCACATTTCACATCAGGAGAATCAGGGCGCAATCCTGCAGCTGTTCTGGGACAGAAGGTTCTACAGCGTGTCAGGGCCCATTTGGCGGGCAGATGCGAGAATAGCAAGTGGAAAAGGCAGTGCCGTGGATCATTTTGTCATCGGCAAGCCCAAGAGCATGCACAGATCAGATTGAGATGCCATTCCGTCTGATAGAACGGTCTCTGGACAACTTGAATTGAATCAAAACATAACTGTTTCATCCAGCTTACTAAATTAGCCTGCTTTTGTGCCTAGCTTGGCCGAATACCGCACCAATAATTAGCAAAAACGGCAACCAGCCCTTCACTCCACAGAACGTCTCGTGAAATTAGGACACCACCTCGCATCCAATCAAGACACAAATAATTTGTTAAGGTCATTGCGCTCTTCAATTTCAAGCACTGAAATACAATGCCTTCAAATACTGATGTCCAGATATAGTAACTCTATATTTCATTATGACTGTGCGATGTCAGTGCATGTTTAAGAACACCAAATGGTCAAAATTTCCGGAGCCTTGCACTATGGGGTCTCTCATAATCACAGCTTGATTTTAGGACGTTAAACTCCAGATATTTTACTTCATAATGAGCTAAACACATTCTTTAATTTCGTCAGCTTGCCTCTTGGCTGGGTGCTTCCTCTCGTTCTTTCATGACGTTGCCTTCTCTCATACAACGTATACAACATTCCGTACCAGAGTCTCACCCCAAGTGCCCTTCCCGCAGAAATACTAACCACACAAACCAGCAGTGCATACTAATTGCACAAATAATTGGTCTTCAAGCCCATTCGGAAAGCCGGTATCGCTTATTTTACCATACTAATAGCAGCTGTATGGCTATCACAGGTAGGCAGGCAACTGGATGAAACAAAACAGCAACCGACGAAGGTGGCCTCGGCATGACTGCAGTCGAAACGACAAAGAGAAAAAGTGCAAACTTCCAGATAATAAAAGAACTGGTTGTGCTCAGACTAGCATTATGATCATATGTAGTAAGTAATTTCGTACTTTAAAAGGGGTCATGACGGCCCCGCCAGGCTCGTTAAAGAAACATCCTGCGAAAAGCAGACGCAGCTACGAACTGCTCAGCCAAATATTACAGCCATCCGAGCCGCGCGAAGGCTACAGGCAAGCGCAGCACGAAGTTGCTATTTTCTCAGGTGTCCTCTTTTCAAACACAGGCCGATTCTCACTCTTCAATGCGTTTTACAAGCCAAGCACGAGGGGTGGTTTGTGGCTGTTTGCATGGTTTTTTTTGACATCCCCAGATCATTTGACTATTTACGCAGCTTCTTAGATCATTTGATTATTCACGCAGTCCACAAAAATGTCAGCAGCTCTACTTTGTGGGAATTGAGGCAAGCTCGCGGCCTTTGCGCATGATTTGCCCCCTTTTCTGTCGTTCTCATGTCCCGACATGACTCACCTCCTCCACTGTCTGCTGCGCTGGGAGAGCGAGAGGGTTGTTTAACCCCTCTCAGCGGGTAGCGGATGTCAACTGTGGCCCCATGTGCGAAGTTTCTCCGGACGTATCGCACGCGCGCGCATCGGGAGTGAGTGAGAGAGACCTCTCCTGGGACGACATGGGGGTAAGCATGTTTTTCTTTTTCTTCCTTCAGCTTCCTTTGTTTGAGTCTCGTTTGGACTTCGCCAACAGCGCCTTGCACCCACGGCGAAATCTTACCCTGTGTCGCTCCCCTTCCGAACGCTAGGCCAAAGAGTGGTGTGGTGTCCTAGTGCGTGGCCAGGATACGCCGACCCGCATCTGTCCGAAGCCAACACGAGCGCCTTTGCCCTCGCTCGAGCAGCCGGGCTTTTGTCCCGGTGTCTCCGTGAATCACTTTTACCATGGAGATGTGCTCGCGGCACCCTGTGTAGAACTTTTCGCTCGTGGCGTGGATAAGCCCATTCGCTCTCTCGCCGCGCCTTTGCAACGGGCTCTGTACTACGTTTTTGGTGTTGCCACAGGCAATAAAGTTTTGCGACCTTGAGAAGTACCGTATTCTCGCCATGGCGACAGTTAACGCGTGCCCTGCGGCCTGCTGAGACCGAACCAGCGCTAGTGGCCGTAATCTTTTGGGATACATATTACTACAACATATGCTCAGAAATCACTATAGCACAGTGTGCTCAGAAATCACTATAGAGCCCTCAGCGTTGGTCACTGTTGGTTGCAAGCATGCTTATTCGGTTGGCAAGCAAGAAAGATGTGGCCGTGAAGTGTGAATATCCATGGGAGGCTCCCAGAGCAATAAACAAGCCTCAACGAGCTTCATTAATTGGCACTTTTTACTAAAGTTACCAGCTTTCCTTCATGTAGAAAGAAATAATGAGCCTTTAATTACACATCCGCTACACTTCCTTTTCGCAGCTCAAAGTTAATGTTTGCAAACACCCAAAGGTTCTCGAATGACTCAGCTGAATATACTAGGAGGAGTAGAACTGAACACATTCAGTTTAGTAAATTTCCAAAGGCCTCTGAAATCCAGTTCAGGTACCACAAAAGAATCTGTCAGCCATCAACAGAGACAAGTTCTAAGAGTTCTAAAGGGCAAATTTCTCTTTAATTTCCCAAGTTAAAAACAAACGGCATCATTGACTAGGTAATCCCAGTGATGAGCCCACTGACCTGGAAGCTCTTGATGCGCTGCAGGCAGTCGGCCAGGTGACAGTCGAGTTTCTCTTCGCGCGCGCGCACTTTGCTCAGCTCGTATTCAAGCTCTTCGACGCGATTGCGCAGTTCGTCATTCTTGGTCTGCATCGAGTCTACCTGGTCCTGGTGCTCCGAAAACTGCAAAACAATATTATACAATATCACACACAAAGCGACCCCGTCACAAGTAGGCAACGCAAAGACAGTGTGGAAACAGCATAACGTAATGTTTCCTTTCACCCTACGTATTTTTTTCTCGTGAGCTGCTTCTCACGACCTGCCAATTGACCAACAATGAGAAAGAAATAAACGAATAATGGACCTCTTTCATAATCGTCGAGCTAGCTGTCCTGCTATGCAGGTTGCTCAGCTGATGACTGCTAGTCATTTACTGTTAACAGCATGTTTAAAGGCAGTCCGCTTGCGCTACAACGTGAAATATGCAGGTTTAGTTCTCGTGACATGAACTGGCATCCTAGACATCATGAACATGCCCAAGCACGTGAAACCACGACTTCGTCTCCACTTGAAGCCAACCGGTGCCACCAATAACATTATTGGGCAAAAACACAGTGCAGGGAAGCGCACTCGTAGGCTATAAAAAAGGTCTATTGAACCGCTGCAGCACTATGTCTGCCTTGAGAGGCACCACAGTATGACTATGAAGATTACAGGACATATTTCAGCCCATCTCATAGACATTCACCTCGTTTCAGTGCCTACAAAAGTTGCTCAGTAACAGCGGACAGCTATCGAGAGAAGCAAGCAAAGCTGAAATCCACCCTCTACAGCAGTGGCTCTCAAGTGGAGTTCAGCACAACTCCAGGGGGGAGGGGGGTGGTCGAGAAAAACCCAGAAGCTGTGCTGCTCTGTTGTATAACCCCCTTTCCCACCTTCCTTACTCTCACTGCATGGGGTCCCTCATCTATTCCACAAGGGTTTTCAGAAATTCATGGCAGAGAAACACTGCTGTACAAGTGCTGCACACAGTGGGGCTCTTCAATTTTCAGGCCTCTGGCAGCTCTCTGGCAGCCAAAGCTAGCCCAAGGGTCAGTCAGCTAGTTCCTGTCTGGACAGGAAACAGCGTCGTGGTTGCGTTTGTGGTGAACTCGAGACAACCCGAAGCTGCCCGAAGATCGCAAAATCGAATGCTGGGACAGCCAGCGTAAACGTAAACAAACTCTATCGTTGCGGCCGCACACGAAACAATGCGCTGCGTGCGCGTTGGGTTTTTTCTGCATTCTCTGCTTGGAAATACGTTGCTAAGCTCCCCAAAAAGCTGAAATAATATCTTCGAGCGTATGCATTTGGGGTACGACTTCGTATGCTCACACGATCACTCGCCGCGTCCGCTAACAAAACAGCCAGCTGGTGCACGCCTCTTCGAGAACGATGCAAGGTGAGCTGTCGCGACGCTGATAGCTTAACAAGCACATGTCTTTTTAGTACATGTAACAGCCACTGCACAACACAACGCGAAATCACGTGAAAGTGATCGTGTCCCCAAAAAAGCTCGAGGATATATACCTGCTCAGCTATCAAACACGCGTTGACCAACTTATGTTTTTGTCTAAGGTTTAGACATGCGAGTGCGCGTCGTATATAAAGTTTTGCATGACACGTTTTCGACCCATTTTGGAACTTGGCTGGGCCTGTTTCAAGTCCTAAGTGGCACTAAACAAATGTCATGTATATCAGCTTTGATTTGACCTACTAGATCATAGTACATACTGTGCGGCGTCATTACGAAGAGGTGAAAAAAAGACAAAACCAACAATAAAATGGGCAATGAAAGGATGTATACAATTCTTAATCCATTCTCCTTTTTTTTTTTTTTTTTTCTCGCGCCGTACCATATAGTATCATACCACATATGCTGGCCCATAGATAGAAATATGTTTGCACGTCATTCGCGATCAGCGAGCATCACCAACAGTTTAGGGCCCTTTATCACCATCGAAGATCAATCGAGTAGTCAGGACAGAAGTTCTAAGAGGTTCACGCATGCACACATACGACGGAGAGAGCTAGTTTGACCACAATCGTCTTCGCTAAGTGCATAGAAAGCAGGCACCGCTCTACAAACGACTACTTCAAAAGGAAAAAAAAATAACTCCACAGTTGTCTCAATGCATGCATATGAACGCGTAGTACGGAACTTTCAAGGCATGTGCACGACGCAGTCAGCAGGCAACAGTTCGCCTCGTTGTTCACATGAAGAAGATTCACGGGAAACATAACAAAAGCAATGAACAGTAGCTGTAAACACTCGCCGCCACTCGTAATCGCCTCATCTGAATCTCATGTTCTTAGGAGCTTTGACTATCAATTATCAGCGTTTTCTGACCATACTAAAGAAGTGTTGTAGGGCCTTCTTCAGTAATAATATCACGACACATTTCAACCCTTACCTCAGTAACCAAACGAAGTCAAGCCAATTTCATATCTAGGGCATACATTCTCCTTCTATTACATATAACTTAAATGTATATACTCCATGTCTCATCTCTGCTTGATTCTTCAACTACAATTAACTGAAAGTACAAAAATACCCAAATACATGTTCCTATCACAAAATTGCAATCTGTCGAGTCCTCACAAAAATGGCGCCGAGCATGTACCATACCATTTCGGCGTCTGCTGGCCCGAAACCTGCTCAAAACCTATTAGAGAGCTTCCAATACTGAATTGTTGTGGAAGCGTCTCGCAACCCTCAGGCTCCCCGCGGGTCGTCAGAACCGTCAAACCTGATAAAAACGAACGCCAACTGGAAGTGCGACGCGGGGGAGGGGGGGGGGGAGAGTGCAGTTTGAGAAAAACGAGCGCGCTCTGGCTGGCTCTGGCAGCCCATGATAGCCATAGGAGGAAAATCGAAAAGCCCCAGTGGCACACCTCAGCGGAGTGAGTAATTAACACTGAAATTCACAAATAAAAATTCAGTACAAGCCTCCAGCACAGTCGAGCCCACATATAACGGCCCCACTTAAAACAAATTTTCGCTTAAAACGAACGATACCCGCGTGACCGTGGAAATTTACATTAAATATATACATTATCTATATACATTTCTATGGCACAAAAACACACAACGAACGTTTCTGAGCCCTGCCGATTGGTTACAGCAAATGGAGTCGGCGCTCCGGTGACTTCACGGGACATCACTTTCGACCACGGATAAGCCATTGGCAAGGTGCCCATAGATTCCTATGGATAAACAGTTTTATTTTTTATTTTATCATTATTGCTTTTAATTTTAATGCCCAATATATGACACCGACCCTACCTTGTGACCGTATAGTTGTCACTCTCTCCGACTGCTGTTTTGTAATGCACTCCTTTGTCCTTTGTCCAGCTTCCCCACCTACTTTAACAATTAGGGATTCACTCCGCGTGCATGCTGACTGAGCATACAGCCGGCGCAGGCTACTCTCCAAAGCAAGCTACCCGAACTACCCTCCCTCGCAGCTCCTTCGCCAGTCTCCACCGCAGCACTCAGCCCCATTTTTAATTCTCTTTCTCCCCAAGAATCTATCTTCGCAATGCTGCCACATTCGTTTTTTTTTATTATTTTTTTTTTCTCTGGCTAGAAAGAGCACAGAGAAGTTACATGCGTGCTTGTTTCTCTAATCACACGTGCGCTACGCGCGCCATGCGTGCACTTCTTGCTCGCTGGCTGTTAGTGTTCAGGTGTTCTGTGGCGGTGTGCGGTCCTGATGGCGGACGGCGACATAAAGCGAAAAGCGCTGGACATTGCTACCAAGCGAGCCGTATATCGCCGCCACCAAGACACCACGCAGCCTGATGTTGCCAGGCACCGGTGTCCACACGCTCAAAGTGTGAAAAACTGCGAGTTGGTTAAAAAGTATGGCATGAGCAAGGCAACCATATCGAAGATCCTGAAAAACAAGGAAAAGATCATCAGTGCCACTGCCAACACGACGGAAATAAAGCGCTTGCGGAGGTTTACCTACGCGAATGTGGAGAACGCGGTGCTGAAATGGTTCGTCGACGCGCGGGCTTGGAACATTCCGGTAAGCGGTCCTATGATGCTGGCCAATGCGAAAGACTTTGCATTCCTTTTGGACTTTGCCGACTTTTGCCGCAGAAACGGTTAGCTACATCGGTTTAAAGTGCACCATGGCATTGTGTTCAAATCGATAGTTTATGAGGCGGCCTTGGCAAGCGACCAAGGCGTTGCCTTGTGGCTGGAAGCAAATTGAGACACCATTTCCAGCTATGCGAAGCTAGACATTTATAACGCAGACGAAACTGCGCTATTTTATCAGATGCTACCAGGAAAAACTCACGCCATGAAAGGCGACACGTGCACTGGCAGCAAACATAGCAAAGTGCGCGTCACAGCACTTTTGTGCACTAATATAGATGGCAGCAACCGGCACGTGCCCTTTGTAATCGGCAAATCGAAGCAGCCCCATTGCTTTCGGGGATATGTGCCTGTTCATTACAGACATAATGCCAAAGCGTGGATGACGCGCGATTTATTTGTAGAGTGGCTGCGCGAATTTGACCAAGACATACTCAAGCAAGGCAGGTGCGTGCTGCTTGTGGTCGACAACTGCGTTGCGTACCACATACAAGTCTCGCTGACGGCAGTAACCCTGTTTTTCCTGCCGCCCAACACAATAATATGTAAGGTGCAACCGCTGGACTTGGGCATCATTCGTGCGTTCAGAAGTTATTATAAACGCCGCATTGCGGAGCGCTTGCTCATAGCTGTTGACCGCCCGACAGCCAACCTGCCGCTACAGGTAACCTTGTACTCAGCTTTGGAGATGCTGAAGGCTTCTTGGACTGAGGTGACGGTTACATGCGTGTAAAACTGTTTCCGCAAGGCCGGCTTCGTTAACGCCGGACCTGACGCCGATTCCTGAAGCCCCCGAAGAGGACCAATCCACCGATTTGTGGAAACGCGTCGTATACTCCGACTTGGGAGAGCGGGACATCTGCTGGGATGACTTCATTACGGCTGATGATGATGCTGACACTGCGGAGCCGTGCACGGAATCAGGTGACGACGACGAAACTTTGGAGCCAGAGACCACGAGCGTGCCTGTACCGATTTGATACAAAAAACGCCTCAGGCAGCTTGTATATGCCAAGGACCTCGGCAAAGAACACTCGAGACGGTACTTATCACATCCACGCTGTCGAAACAGACATGCATTACGAACGTTTTCACCAAAAAATAAATTTTTGGTTTTCACTTGCAACTCTTTAAAAGCTATTTTTCATTTACAACAAACTTTGGGATATAACGAACAGATGCCACGTCACGCTCAGGTTTGTTGTAAGCGGGCTCGACTGTATACTCCTCCTCTGGATCGCAGTCTGAATGCGCTTGGAAGGTGGGCAGCATAATGCCCTCTCCGTGGAGAATGATGGCTCTCTCGAAATCAAGGTACAAGTGTAAAAATGCCTCTTGCACTAGAAAATATCATTTCTTAGCTATAAAACAGCCAGTACAAGAGTGTTCTGCGCTACGTTGTACCTATCCTCGGGTGTGTAGAATAATCAAAAACTTACCTGAAAATCATTTGCTCCAGATAGGCCGCTTTATTATTAGTCACCTGATTAATTACCTATGTTTCCCATTAAAATCTAAAGTCTTATGTAACCAAGCAATGTCACTGTTCTTTCTTCAGCGTACTTACACCTGCTAGGCTACACATCCGAGACAGCAGCATGTGTAAATGAAACCATTCATCAAATCCCTGCTGTTCAAAATGGAGCAGTTTGCTAGTCATGTTGCACTTAAGTTCCAATCACTAACGAACACGAATGAATAAAAGAAAGAACAAAAAGTGTTACCAACCTTGAGGCTGAGCTTGTGGTTCTTTTCGTGCAGTGAGGTGACGAGCGCATGGAGATTCTTGTTCTCCATCTGCAGCTCTACGTTGGCCTGCCTAACTGCCTCATTCAGATCGGGCGCCCGACCAGTGTCCATTGCTGGCTCTCCATCTACATTTGAGAGAAGAAAAAAATTCCCAAGGACTTGATTTGATCACACACATGGGAGCTATCAGCTTCTAAATGAACAAGCGCTGTAAAACACTTCAGCAATACTAACAACATTACTTTGGAAAATTTATTTGAGAACTTTGATGGAGTGAGTCATCTGTGTAAGTGTGGTGGCACCTGAAAAACTTGAGCTCTGACATCAACACTGAACCTAAGCATCAGTATTCATTGTAAACTTGCAGCCAAAAGTTCACCATGCAGGAGCACAACAGAACAGATAGACAGGATGGGCACTTGTTTGTGTTCCAGTGGGGTCGTGTTTTTGGCTCCAAATTTATTATTGATACTATGTGCGCAGCAACTTTCCCAACAGAGACTAGAACTGTGTCAGATCGTGGCGACTGCCTGGAACTGTGGGATGAACTGAGCAGCCCCCTTGGTTAACGATTTTCTATACAATGAGACCAGCTGAACCTAAGTTGTAAAAACAATGTTCCGATGCTCCTGGGGCATTAATCCAATAGTTCAGATTGATCCGAGGTTTGTCGTTCGCTTCCAGTCATGCTATGTCTGGGGCAAGTCGGTTAATGTGAAACGCGCTACAGATGTATACAGTAAAATCTTGATGAAAGGAATCTCGAGGGACCACTAAAAATTATTCATTATTTTGAAAAGTTGCAGCGAAGATATCACAAGTTTGCACAAAAATAGCAAATTCAACCCTGTGAGATGCCAACTGGTGCTATGTATACATCTGCGATCGTGTTATGATCTAATTTGTGCAAAATAACAAACACGAATTATTACGGAACAAGTGCATGTTTATTTGAGCAAGAGAGCGACCCCTGCCTGATGGATGCAGCTCAACTGCTGCAAGACCAACTCTTAGGCGTGCGCATCCTTCTCACGCACTTCGAAGCATCAGCGTTGGGTACCGATTGTTTGCATTGGTTCAATTGCGCTATGCCCGCATCTTCTTTGCTCTCATTGTCTTTCATCTTCGCTACTTTATCACAACGAATGGTATGAATCTTATCAGTCATCAGCGAAGCCGAGGTGCATACTTCGTCGACGCACCGTGCATAGTGTTCAAACGTTAGTGAAGCATGCGTGGGTAATCATCGGCGACTTCACTCTATAGGTCACTTTCGCGTGCATTTTTTATTGTCAGTGCATTTCTTCCGCAGCTAATAGCGAACGTACAACCCCCAATCGAAAGGAGTAAAAACAGCCGAGCAACAAGCGTGCAGGTAAAGCTGCCCGACAAAATAAAGGCAACGCAGCGAAGCCTGAAGTGAAAAACAAGTGCAGGCACATAGAGAAACGCGCGGGCGTTCGATGATGCATGACAGTGGCAAATACGGAGCTGAGGATTGTTACCACAGTCGCGAGTAATTTTTTAAAATCTATTCATCATTTTGAAGCATTGTGAAGATATAAAGGTGATAAAATTCGATACATTATTTTGAAACATTTGGTATTTTGAAATTCGTAGTAGTGAATTATTTTTGCTATTAAACTAATAGACATTTGGAGGGCAACTTTTACAAAAGTCATTATATTGAAAATATTGTTAATCTGAGGTTCGCTGTGATATTTGACAAAGAAATTAGTGCAAAAACACACGTAACATGTTGACATGAGCAAACTGTCAACTGCTTATTTTATGCAGTCAGTAATAAGAAAATTGTAATGACGCTAGCCGAATGCAATGACAGGCTAGCTGGTGCATATGAGTGGTTCACTCACAATCAAAGTAAGTACCGTATTTGCTCGCATAATTTGTTCATTTTGTTTTTGAAATTTTAGGGCTCCAAGGAGGAAGTGCACAAATTACACGAGGATTTTGCGAACATATACAAAATAATGTGCAATTGTCCTAGCACGCGCAGTATATACAAAAAAAAAAACAAAATAAACTGAACCACAAACAGAGAGTGCTAGTTTATTTAACAGAATTAACGCGCCCTTTAATAGGGAATCATTATCGCGGCTGCTGTCACCGCCTTCCCAAAGTGCATCACCCTCCGTTAGGTCGAGCACATTCGACTGCCCCATTTTCGTGAAGCTCTGCTCGAGAATACTGGGAGAAACTAGGCCCCACAACACAGCGATACCAGAAGACCTGAGCCTTTGCACGTAATTGATAAGGCCTCCTTCAATGGCAGGAAGCTTGTATTAACAAGCATGCACTATTCTGCTTTCTCCCATACCAATTGTCACACAAGAACCTCAAACTGAAGTGCTTGGCGGCGGCACTGTTTCCATTTTATTCGACAATCTTTATAACAGCGAGCTTAAATTTTGCCGTATCTTGAATTATTGCAGCCCATCTCATGGGAACTCGCATGTCTCCGACGCATGCCTCCAATGCAGAACATTGTTCGTGCCGTGACGCGACCGGGCATTCTCTCGGTGGTAGAGATGAAGAGATAAAGAGAGGCAAACGTTTGAGCAGTTCTGGCGACCTGTCAACAGGTTCGGTTGTTCAAGTACAGTGTTTCAGGGACCCTTGTTTTAGGGAAAGTCCTCGGAAGAAAGGACTTTGCACTCACAGCCCCTTCGACTGTGCTCGCCTAATCGGCGAGGTGCATTCGCCCAAAGCATACGAAGGTCCAAAGTCTCTTCGAGCTTGTGCCGGCGAGCTTGCTCAGGCAAATCACGGAGTGGCAAAATATGCTAGTAAGCACGGTAGTTCATTCCAGGGTAAGCAATGACATATTTCTTCACTTTTGCATTGTTTATTTATGCAGTGAAAGAAAGTTGATGTAAACACTGACTTGATCTCCTCATGACAAGTGACCCGCTGTGAGCATAGACTACGACATGTGGCAAACTGGCAAGTTTGCCACATGCACCCTCTGGATAAGATTATAAAGACGTTGCAGCTACTAAGGAAGAGCAGCAGCAGGAACCAGAAATACGTGTACGATGTCGAACAAATTGCCAGAACACAGAAAGAACACGCCCTTCATTCTTTAGCACTCCCAAGGAACGGCAATGGATGAGTAGCAGCAGAAAGGCGATACCTGGGCCAGGTGGTTCTTCCCCTTGGAGGGCCAGCATGACCTTGTGGTTCCTCTGCACCAGGCGGTCGAAGGCCTGCAGCAGCTTGGCGATGGCACGGGTGGACACCTGCACCCGCTGGGCGAGCTTCTCATCAAGCTCCTCGCGGTCCCAGTGCAGCAGCATGCCCAGGAAGGACGTGGTGGCCTCCGCCTCATTGCGCTGCTCAGACTCGTCCCACGCCTCCGAGTCAAAGCGCTGCAGCAGGACGCGCAGGTCCTCATTCAGCTGGTTCCAGTACCTGCAGCGTCCACCGTCACCAGCGTCACTATACCCGCCTAGCCACAGGCTCGGCTACGCGTGTGAGCACAGCGGGTCATAAAGCAAGAAAGATGATAGTGACGGTCATCACAGAGATTATAATACCGCTCTTGTAGAACATATCTGCTGATTTTGAAACAGCAGAGAACTAGTGTTTCCTACTTCTCTACATACTGCTTAAACTTTGCTATACACCCATTTCCTGTTATTACTGAGCAAACATTCTGTTTTCACAGTAATACCTGTGTTGCTATAACCCTCTCCATACCATAAGCAGTCTTCCTTTATAAGAGGCCTGTGAAATACTACAGATAAATAAATAAAAGCCTAATGCATATTATTAACAATAGAAGAAGAGACTACTCAACACATTGCAGGAGGGCAAAAGGTTTTATAGAAAATTATCTTTTCTGGGCTTATTCCCGTTTATTATGGTAGTGGGTTCCTCTGTTCATGCAATCACTCGAACTGCCACGTTTTTATGATAATTTTATGCATCCTTTCACTTCTAGTGCCTTTGTAGTTTCCACTTTTGGTCATTTCTTTATGGCCTTGTACCTACTGTTTATTTATCTTTCAATGTCACTTCCCAGGATTTTTTATTCGTAAATATATCCTGTAATTGCTGTTCGTTTCCGTAATGCTGGTCATGCATGGGAAGTCCGAATTCAGTTTCTGACAGTAGGACCTTCTTTCTTTCTTTGAACACTTCGTGTAACGATGAACAACGCTGATCACCAAGTAGAAAGGAGTGTCACCTGTTGACAACTGTGAGGACCCCTTCGTCGGAGGTTTGCCGTTTCTCCAACTGCTCCACGCGCGCACGCAGCTCACTCTCTTGCCGTATGCGTTGATCGAGGCGCTGTGCTAGCTTGCGATTTTGAAACTGCAGCGTCTTCATATCCATCTCCTCCTGCAGGGCGATGGCCACAGGTGCAAATGCATCAAATAGAAAAGAACTACCCCGTTTGCAATGATTGCAGGCACTGTACACTAAAGAGACATAAAAAGAAAAGTACAACTTAGACATAAGTGCAACCTGAGATATAAGTGTAAACTGAGACAGAAGTGTAACCTTAAGAGACAGGGAGAGAGCAGAGTGGGCCAGGGAACAAACAGGGGTTAAGGATATCATAGCTGAAATCAAGAAGAAGAAATGAACATGGGCCAGGCATGCAGCGCGTAGACAGGATAACCGCTGGTCACCGAGGGTAACTGGCTTGATTCCAAGAGAAGGCAAACACGTAAGAGGGAGACAAAAATTTTGGTGAGCAGGTGAGGTCCATGAAGTTTGCAAATATAACGTTGGCAGCAGAAAGCACTGAACCGGGTCGATTGGCAGAACTTGGGAGAGGCCTCTGCCTCAAAGTGGGCACAGTCATGCTGATGATGATGACAACTTAAACTGGATAAGCAGCTTGTATTTCTGTACTGTGAACGTGTCGGCACATCATTGTAAGTAGAGCCTTACAGCAGTGCCATAGAAGCCAATGTGAAGGTAGATGTATAATCTTACTGGTTTATAAAGAGCCACAAACTGTATCATGTTCAAGAAGTGTGAAAGAACATGGAGACGAAGCTGAGAATACACACAGGACAGGTGCTTAAATGCTGTGTGTATTCTCTGCTTCATCCCCAGTTTTCTACTTCTTAAACATGAACAGATTCCAACTAGTCCACATAGCCGTGTTACCACAAAGCGTAATTTTACATGTGCTTATTTATGAGTTGACTACGCTACTGCATGAAGCTTAACTTTCTCCCTGTATTTTAGTGCTCACTGCTAACAGCATGTACACAGTAATGTTTTTGGTGTTGAAATGATGCTCAAAAAAATATTCACATCATGCACACACTCTTGTTGAAGCCCTAAAATAAGGTGAGAAGAGTGTAAGCTAAGTGAGGAAATCATCATATCAAGTGTTTTGTTTTATATCAAGGGTTAGCAGCTGATCAGTACATTTGCCTCGACTTACCTCCTGGAAATAGCAAAATATGACAATTCCTTCCCTTCATGAGTTCATACAGTGAGAAAACACAACAAGGGTGGAGGATGTGACTGCATTTACAAACAACCTTTTGGCTCAAGGCTCCCTTTGTCTGCTACTGGACTTTGCTGAGCACAGATTCCACAGTTCAGAGAGGATGTCTGAGACGCACAACTATGTGAAAACTGCCAAGCAAAAGCATTCCACCACAGATGCGGTTAGCAAGTCCTAGTTAACAACTACAAATAGTTGCTGGGGTGAGGGAACGGTCCCCATATATCTAGAGTGAAGCTAAGGTTGCGCCCTGATGGTCGTTACATGGCACTGACACAACTGCGATGACAGCTGTGGAACATTAGAATATATGACTGAATAACACAGCACACACATGTCGAGGACATTTAAGCTGCTGTTGAGGCAAGAGTATCATAAAAAGTTCCCCCAAGGCAAATGCAGTCACCTGTGCCAAATTACGAAGTGTTAACCCACCAGACTGGTGTCAAAGAAGTATCGACACGATTTTGGGGTACCCCGAAAGAGGCATTTTTTACTTCCATAGCATGCACTATGAACGCATTCCAAACACCAGAGCCAAGAGACAGGCAGAAAATATTTTACCTTAATTTTTAAGTTTTTGTCATGCAGCTAGCCCCACGACAACAGACACGACAAGTCAACACACTTAAATGGTTTTGTGAAATATGCATCCTGCATCCAGCCTAAATCGCCAGAATCGCTGTCAGAATCTCAGTTCGACAATTCTCTTGTCGTTGCTTAAAACCACATTCGATTGAAAGTAAACTGACAGCTGTTGCAAGTCGATCGCAAGTTGCTGTCCTGCCGTGATATCAGACTAGCGTTTACAAGTCACAGCAGTATTAAAAATATATGTGACACATTTGAAAGCACTGTGACACTCTTTTTGGGGTTCTCATTTGAAGGTTCTTTTTAGCTTTTTAATACGAGTGTTTTATGCCTGGGTCCACAACGGCTCCACTAACGTACTTTCGTCACGAAAGTTACGTTGAAAAATGTATACTAAGAGATTGCAAAGAAAAGAACTAGAAGACAACCATCTGTCACACGGAATAGAACCACCAACCTCTCGATTCTCAGTGCGCGGTGCTAATCACTACGCCACAGAGCGTACGTTATCCGGCATACTAACGGCAAGCTATTTACACACACTATAAACCGTTTGGCAGTCCTGAGAGCTTCGAAACTTTAACGCATTTTCTTTGTTACCAGTGGCGAGATGGCGCAACAGGCTCGCGTTGGGCGCACTCTAAGGGTCGTCGTCACCACGAAGCGCCGCCTCCACGGAGCATGGTTTCTCCTGCACACGCGCTTATCAGACTCGTAATTCGGGAGAGTATGAAAGTCACTTCGCACATTGCGACGGCCGCGTTTATGAAAGGAGCGCGCTGCTGGCACACGACGCAGGAAGAATTGTGGCAGCTGTTCGCGCTTGTCCTTTGTATTTTGCGCACTCGTTTCGTGCATCTTTCTTTCTGTTTGAACAGCGCATTTAGGTGTCCAGCTGTGACAGTTGTTAGCCCGTGCTTGTCCTGCGTATGCCAATTTAGTGCATGCTTTCTGCTTGAGGTGTGCACTGCAAGTTTCGAGCTACTTGCCATTCTTAACCTTCCATTGATATCTGTCGCTGAAACAATCCACAACAAAGGCTCAACTACCTCTGTAAAGACACGTTTTGCTATTGTGTTATACCGATTCCGATATAGGGGTATCAGCAACTTTCTTTATTTAGAGCAACAGCTCGGAATTGTGAAAAATTCGTGTCAGTACTCCTTTTAAGCAGCTCTGCTTACACAAACAGTGCCCCTGCCAAGGAACCTACCTATGCGCGACACAATGCGTTGGCAGGCTAATTGGTATGAATCCATAATGCTTTTTAGTTCAAAATGACAACACAAGAAAAATGACAGGGCACAATGCTTTGTCCTGTTGCCTGTCTTGTGTTCTTGTTTTGCGCTGAAGAAAGCAGTATGGATCTGCCCATATACTCTTCTTTGTAATGCTCGCACAGGCAGTACACTACAAGGTGCTGCAGGTGTACCAACAGACATACAATGGGCCTCACGATTGCTTCGTAGCTGTGTGATCCAGTTACTCTGTCTCTGAAGACAGTTGTACCCTACAAGGCATCCTTCTGACACACAACAGTACTGGCGATCTGGCTTTCTCGTGCTTCTTTCTACAAAGTTGTGCACCCGCTGCTTTCCCGTTTAATATTTGTCATACTGATGACGCACATACTGTTCGTTACCTGGGAGAATTTCGCATTGAAATTAACTCTTTACTGCCGAGTGTCACGAATTCGCGACATACCGAGAAAGTTCGAGCAAGCAAGTCACGAAATGCGTGCCCGCCATTTATGCCGACTGCCAAGTACCCCTGGAGAACGCAGCTTTCAGCATGAAAAGTCTAGCACCGTCTAGTGTAACGTACTCTATGCTATTCTTTTGTAGCTGATGAATGAGAGCGCGAAGCACATGCAACAGCTCTCACTTCTTCGTTCTTTCTAGCCTGGGTAATGTAAGTTCTACCTTCAATGATTTTGTTTATTTGGTGTGTGCACACCCAAGGGTGGGACATGACATGTTATGTAGCTCTGAAATACATATTTTGCTGCAAGGTCCTGGCTTCTGTGGCATATGAAGAACTTGCGACATACCTAAAAGAATGAATTGAAGTTGCATTTTAGATAATTGTACTATAGAATCAATTAAAGATTGCTACTTAAAGTTGGAAAATAACTTTTTTTTTGTTTGGCTTTTTCATAATTCAAGCATTAAAGGGTTAAAGCAGGGGAAAGCACACAGTCCAGATGACGACTGCTGCTGTGCGACAAACAGGCCTCAAGGACCACAACTGCTGGAGAGCAGTAGCGGACAGGGGTGGTACTTGGCGAGCGTTCTTACCAGCGTGGAGACCTGTCCGATCCGGAAGGGTTCGAAGTGAACCTTCTTTGCCGAAGGGGCCGAGGAGGAAACCCCGGGGGAGTCCTGCGGGGCTGGCCGCTTGGAAGCCATCTTCGGTGGCTTCCGGCAGCCGCCGCCTCCCGGGCTCACCTCAGATATTTTGATAATCTGCAACACAGCAGCCAGAGGGAGGCATCCAAACATTTTATATTGATCGACGAGTGCCCTCAATTAGTGCAGGTGTCGCAAAAACAGATTTTCAGAAGATAAAAAATGTGCCACATCCAGTTATTAGTTGTGAAACACAACTACAGATTTAAATGCAGAATCGACACTGGTGATGAGTGGGGACGAACAGTTTTATTTATTGGCTGCTTTCACTATTAATTAGGAAAAAAACTGGTGTTTCTAACTTCTCTTTGTAGTAAGTGCTTCCTCAAAACACAAGCAAATATTGTTCAGCCCAGGCAATCTGAAATGTAGTGTAACAGATTGGTTGACCTGTCCTAAAGCATTCAAGGTCTTCAACTTTCATTCCATCTTACTTATCCATTGCATGAGATGTCAGCACTTCCATGACAGCCCACAGATGGTTGACTTCGTGAACCCCACGCCCTGCGCGGCCGGAGGGAATCCCGCATGCTGGAACCCAATAAAGTTTATTCTCTCTCTTTAAAAAATAGGGCACCTATTCAAGGGGCTCAAGATCTTGTATGGTTTTGACAGTTCTTGACATTCTGAATTGGCAATTACTAATAGAGGGACTACGTAAGACAAACTACTCGGCAAGAACTGTGAAAAATTGCCCTATAAAGCTGAGACATAGGAATTTGAGCAAACAGAGCTTTTATTTCCCATGAGTCTGTTCAGTGTTACCTTGAGTGCCCTTGCCTTAGGCTTGCAGGTACCGGGGCTTTCCTGGCTTTTCAAGGATGCATTTCAGCTTAATTTTGGCACAGGTGCTCTTACAGAATAATGCACTTTTCATCTTCTATCCAGTCTACGATTCATATGGATTTTGTTATCCACTGATTACTCATGTGCAAGAATGAGCCAGACAGCATTTCAAACTTAGAGGTCCTATTTTCTACACACGTAGCCCAGCACTCCCCCACCCTCCCCCTTGGTACTTCTACCAATTCTGGCCCACTTCGATGCACCTCAACATGAACCAATGCAGCAGCAAAAATCAAATTTGAAATCTTTGTAGGTTTGACAAATGACACCTTTGAAAAATCAAAGCATATTGAGAGCCCTAAAACAGAATGAGAAGGTGACAAAGCCTTGTCACGAGAATAAGCTGGCTTTAGCATACACAACAGACCATCAATTCATATATCCAATGTTTAAGTCAAAACACAATTTGCAGTCTTCTGAAACACGACCGGGGTGCTTGAAGGAACCAGTCAAAAATGCCATAAATATAGGCGTGATTAACATCTAGAGATCTTCCCCGGCATTCAAAACAAAGCTTTCGACACCTCCGAAGCATGTGCACTAACATTTTCATATCTTTAAACAGATATAATCGCAGATGGTCTGCAAGAGGCTTTTATAACATGGGTAGGTATGTTACGTTTTCATAAACGCTAAACAGAAGTAGGGTGACTATAGCAACAGAACGGTTACCAAGGTATGGCTATGCGACTGAGGAAGGCAGAGAGTCGTATGGAGTGACTAAGTCAGAAGTTTGCAGGGATAAAATGGATAAATCAGCTCTCACAAGATAGGGTGAACTGGAGATTTTCTGGCCCTTGTTAGGTCAGCATTGCCCTTCAGCCATCTTTCTTATTCTACTCCACACCTTAAAGACAACTATGCAGAAGTTATGAAAGTGACCAAAGCAGTATGATCATGGGGCCCTTACTCCACGTGTTTAACAGCCTGCCACGTTTTTATGCTAACTACAGAATAACGACTCATTGCGTAAGATTGAATAGCACGCTAGTGGTGCACATTTACGTTTTCTGCATGCAGCTTACTACATTTTGGTTGCACTCGAAATCAGAGCAACAATTGCTCTACACAGAAATTTGCCATCCTGCTCATTGGGGAAAATGGGTTTTGGAGTTTTGTCTGCCTAACAATGATATGATCATGAGTTGCACTTTAGAGAAGGAATATACATTAATTTTATCCATCCGAAGTTCAACAGCATGCAACTAAATCTGAGTACGGGTGCTACTGCATTTTGGTCCCATCGAAAGGCAGCCACCAGGACCGGGAATCGAACCCATAAGCTTTGCAACACAACACAGCTATGAGCCTCTAAGCAACTGCAGTGCGTTGGTAGGAAAGTTCAGAACTTCAATGTTCTTTGTGTAACAAATACGCAAAAGTTATTTTGGCTGCAGCAAGTTTCTAAGGCCTGATGAAGTAACTGTACAGCATCAAGAACAATAACAAATGAGGAGGTCAGCGATTGTTTATTTTACGGAATTTGCAGTGCAAGCAAGCAAATGCCAAAGGAAGGGTAACGCCCTCTTCACCTTCTTTTTTTCAATGTTTTCTTTTTCGGCCCTTATGCGCTTGCGCTGCAGATTCTGTAAAATGCACAGTAAACAAAGTCGCCACCATTGCCGTTCGCCATTAGTGCTTGGCCTGTCTGTCTTCCCTTTTCGGCACTGCACAGCTTTCTATAATGTAATAAATACATCACATTGGATTATGCATACCTATATCTTTCATTCACACGTGAAGCATTACATATTTTTCGGCCTTGTCAATGGGTGGGGCGAGAGGTCCCATTAGCCTCTGTCCCCGGTGCACGAACAGGATTACACAATTTTGCCTTGACTTAATTCATAGTGTTTGTTTTCTCCGATCTTCAGAATGATTGAATGCAAGCAAGAGATGATACATCTTTCCAATTATGCCACGGCCTAGTTCTGAACCTTTCACTGAAAATTGGCCTTACGTATACTTAAGCGAAATCCCCACCTTTTTGGTTCAATACTGCATCAGCAGCCAGCCAGGGATGCCCTGGGAGAGACATTAAAACATGCAGCAAAAAACTAGTTAGTTATAGTAAGTCATGCACAGCTGCTGCAAGCTTATGCAACGATCAGTACACTAGAAAATACCACTGACAGATCTCTTCACTCTGCAGTACTCTTTGAAGTTATGGACAATTAGGCAAATTGTGTCAATCAAAACTATGATTTTTTTTCTTCCTACAACGCCCAGAGCTCCTCAGTTTCACTCTCATCTCTATGCACAGTGCAGAGGGAAGCAATCCGTGCTAATGAGAAAACCAATTAGCATTATTCAAGGCCGCGGTAACCCATGGTGCGCTAGCAGCTCAGCTTACGAGCACGATTAGCGATTGCAGCCGATTTTCACCACTGCGTGTCGCAAGAACGTCAAGTTACGTTGGTTCACTATAACGTAACGCTGCGACCTCTTACCTGTTCTCGCGGACAGCCATTTAGGATTTCCAGCGATCCTTACTAGTGACCTCGTTTTCGGCCTTTTGGCCGCGTGTTTCCTCTTCCTATTAAGCAGTACGTCCTTGGTAACCTAAAACGCGCCCCGAGGTACGGAACATCGGCCTACGTTTCCGCTAAGTCCACCGATGTAGCGCTCTCGCACGTCCGTCTAAACTACGAAGCGAAACCTCGCATATGCTTGGCTCGTCAACGGCGTACACCACTCCTACCCTAAATAGGCTCACGGGCCACTTATAGAACCGGCCGTAAGCTTGGTGACAGTGTTTCATCGCGCTAAAATTCGATAATTTCGCAAAATATTACGAGTAAACGGCGAAGCACAGACGGCTGGAAGTCGGCTGGCCTCCATCGCAAACCCTGACAATGCCAGCGCCTGTCAAGGGTGATCGCTCGCGATGGGAGAATTTCTTTCCTGTTTGGGGCACCGTCGAGTTTGCCCGTGGCGCATTTGCCGATCGACCTGTCCGACAGCTTTTCCTGCCACCGCCTTGTCTTTAGCCCTGCCTGTTGTCAAGCGATATCCATTAGGGCTAAACCTTACGCTCTGCCTGGACTTTCTCGGGCGACGCAAGCTTCTCGAAATCGCCGATGCAGTATGTTTTGAGCCAGACGACGTTGACACAGAGGTGGTATAATTGCCGCGCTTATCACTCGACTCTCGCGATATGCGCTTGCCTATGCGACACCTGTAGAGGTAGCCCGTCGGTTCTTTTACCTTAAACGCTAGTTACCTTTTTGTGGTGTTTCTGAGGCGACTGCGGCAAGCCGATGAACTCTACATTACACGCAGTCGCAGCGCGTTTACAGCACAAACCAAAAATAAAATGGCCGCGACCGAGACTCCTCTGGCGGCTCGAAAGAAAGCACGCAGCGTGAACAAATACTTCGTCTGGCAGCATTGGTTTCGAAACCATCGCAGTGGTTAGTGCCATAGCCCCGTAGGTCCTTGTCACAGTCTATGCCAGCTCTGCGCTGAGAAAAACGTTCTCGCCATCAAAATTACTTCGGCCAAGTTTAGTCTTAAGCATAGTGAGCCAGAGTCCCTGTCGGATCTGCCTGCACTGATTGCCGGAGTATAATACGTCTCTAGAAATCATGAAAATAATAGTTATTGGGCCCTGTCAGGTGAGCAGCCGTATTTGTTGATATACGCGTTGCCCGTGGCAACGTCTTTCGCGCGCCCGCTTTATTTCGTAGAAACTCCAAAACTTTTCGAAGCTTAAGCGACTTTTGAAACGTTTCACGCCTTTTCTTTTTTCAGTCTGGTAAGACGGCCATTTCCAACTATCTGGCTGAGGCGACGGAGAACTCTTCCGGGCAGTACCAGCCCACAAAGGGCGTGCGGTGAATATTCCGTGTTGCTCTAAACTTTAAAGATGCATACACGCGCGTTGAATATTGAAATGATTGTTTGGACCGACAGCCGGTCCTGAACATGCTGTTTCAGGATCCTGGAATTTGAGAGCCCACAGATCTTGGTAAAAGGACGACAAACCATAACACCGGTCGAACTTTGGGACTGCAGCGGGGACCAGAAGTAACTAGCGTTGCTCTAGCAACTTTATCTCATATTATCGTACAATATAAAAGACCCAACGTAACGCTAAAGGCGCTTTACACTTCCACATAAACGTATCAGCTATGGGAAATTGGTCAATCTCTCGGGAACATCAGTTTCGATCGTGGGGCACCTATCTTAAGCAAATCGGATTATTATAATTAAATCCTGCCTGAATATCTGCAACAGCTATTGTCGTGCAGGTACGAGAACTGCTGGCCCGCGTTTGCTAAAGATGTACAAGGCATTATATTTGTCTACTCAGTCAGACCAAAAGAATGTGTCAACGACGCTTGACGTATGGTGAGCATTATTCCTGGCGTACACGCTGCTGCGCTCGCGAAATTGAGAGGAACTGTGACATTACCCGTTTTGCATATATGTTTGCCGTGCAGGTACAACAACTTTGTTCAATCGCAAGGCGTGAAGGACTCCCAGTGCGTCGTGTTTTGCCACCGAAAGTCCAGCGATCGCCCCGCGGGAAACCCTTCTCAACTGTCGCACTTGTTCGCCCGGGTCACCTGGGTGTCGACGAGCATAGAGGACGCCGATGACGGCGGTAAAGGCGGAGAGCAGACGCGACACGAGTTCAACAGGTTTCTCGAACGGCTGTCGAATGAGTTGAATGAAAGGCACGACCAGGAAGAGCTCTCCATCATCGGGCAGGCCTGAACATGTTTCGGTTATATAAAAAACAGAATGGTGCGTCTTCAGCCCAAATACTTCGCCAATAAACATTTTAAAACATAGTACTCATTGCGTGCAAAAACACAAAAATATCATTCATAGGACTCCAAGCAGATTTTCAAGGCTGAGGGCTGTATACGTGTCAACACACGCGAATACCACTGCCCTGTTATGACAGCTATCATCATCAATAAATGTACCTTTTTTTTACAAAAGTCAAGCCAAGACAAGCCTTTCTTAGAGTTTACAAAAGTTCCGAAACTTGTTGGTGCGGGAACTTTCCGTCGATAGCTCTTTCCTTGTTGCTGCGATACGCGCGGCTGGACATTTTGTTTGTAACCTCACAGTTCATTGCTGTCCCCGACTGCGGGCGCAAAGCTGTGCTACAATGCACGCTTTGCAAGCTTTGAGGTTATCGCGCCACTTTCGAGCACGGCTGCCTCAAACTCGGCTTCCTTGGGCGGATTCACAAGGAGGAGTCCGATGTTGTGCGACGCTCTTCACCGAACAACACGATGAGCTTCGACGGAGCGTTCGAAAGGTAACAAAAAGACGACCCTGTCTTTCCCCCTTTCCTTGTCACCGTTGTTTCCTTTCGGGTGCAGCCTGCCTAGTGCTTACCAAGGCACCGGGCAACTACGTATCGGAGCCGCATATCCGCGATAAGGAAGCTGTTACTTGTGTTTCGTTGACGTTGTATTCGCGCGGAGCTGTCATCGCTTGCGTGGGGGCCATCTCTACTCGTTGGTGTTGCGGAGCCATGCTGGCATCTCGAGAACGACTGCTCACGCGAAGGTCGCGGGTTCGATTGCGGCGGTCACTTTTCAGTGGAGGCGAAATGGTAGAAGCCTGTGTACTGGGCGATGTCAGTGCGCGTTAAATAGCCCCAGATGTGCGAAAATTTCCGAAGCCCTTTACCATGGTGTGTCTAATCATACCGTGGTTTTGCCCCGCGTATTGCGTTATTAAAATAACGCGCATGTTGTTGCCAATAAAAAAAAAATCATTGGCAAAAGGATGACGTGCTGCGACTTGTGTCAAGGTCGCGTAATGCAGCGGTTCGATAACTGCGTCATGTATTGTTACGACTTCAATGCCGGTTTTCTTTTAACAGCGCGAAGTTGTTTAAGGTTGACGTTAATTCCTGCTGAGCAGAGCTCCTAGCCGGTACGTGCCACAGATACCCCCCCCCCCCCCCCAAAAAAAAAAATAGAGCTACTGGAATGTTTGGCGATAAATAAATCCGTGCATTCTACCAAAGAAGAAGCTGCCCTTGGAGTACGTCAGTGGGAATTGAGAATTGGCCGATAGTGGCAAAACTACTGTAAAGCCAAGTCAAGCAATGAATGAAAAAAAAAATAATAGGGGACCCTTAAGTTTTGCCTTTAAGAGTTGAATGCGATAGTGATATCCTGTCCCTAGTGCATACTAAAACCACTTACTGCATACTTTTTATTCTGTGATGTTACTTGAGACGTTCAGATTGTGGATTACTAAAATGTAATCAATGATTTCGCACACGTGGCTGTAATCTGTGTAATGGGTAGCATGCTTTAAACTATGAGCAAATTATGTGCGTGAAACGTTGAACTTGCTATGCACGCACTACGTTGTCTTAAGGGAATACGTGCGCAGTGACGTGTGTGGCTTTTGTAATGGGTGGCCCGCTTTAAACCACGAAGTCTTTATGATAACTTTTGCATTCTGGCTCCGGGTGGCAATGTATGCTTGTACCATGCAATATTACTGCGATTTTACATGTAGTATTGTGAAGCTTGTATGCAGGCACGTGTGTTTGTAAGCATGAAAGTTATTTACGCTGCACTTCCAATCAGACACATGGCTGTCTAGCACATCTGCTTGCCAAGCAAGCAGCCAGGGTTTGATCCTCACTCAGACCCGTAAATTTTTATCATTTATTTTATTTGCATCTTTCTGGATTTCTCAGCCATGCACAAGATGATCTTTCGCTCACAACCAACCAAGCCCACACTGGAATTTCCGTGAAATGAGCTTTTTAACTCTATCACGTTAATAACAATGTGATGCCACCAGCTGCCCCTACTTAACGAGTCTTTGCGATGATGGAAAATGAGAGTGCAAACAAAAGTTCTTAACTGTGTCAATCACCAGAATGTTTGTCTTTTTTTTACTTATTAAGTGCAATTAATATTATCTTCAAAGTTCAAGATCTGTTGCAGGAACATTTTTTATATGCTTTCTATATAACTGCCTACTTGAAGCGTGTCTTTAAAAAGGGTTGTTTAGGTTTTAATGGTGGTCGGTGAACTCTTTGGAATCCAAGGGCATGCTGATGATTAGAAATTGACAAACAACCCACAAGTACTGCAGAGTTCTGTATCAATGCAACACTGCATCCTGCTTTCATAACAGTTGTGAAGGCCGAGAATTGTGAATGCAAGTGAAGATCTTGGGGGTTTTTTTACAGGACGTATGGAGCTGATAAGTGGAGAAAAGGGAGGTGAGGTAATGGTGTTGCCTGCACATCTAATTTATTGTGACATATCCGGCTTTGCCAACATTTGTGGCTCGTATGGTGCACAGCTGGCCGGGTTGTACTAGCTCAGGCCGAGCTACCCTTAATTCATAAAGTAAATTGGAGCGCATTCCGTGCATGTACCCACTGAAAAGTATCACTGCCAGCTGCGTATGCACAACACAAACAGTCCCCATTCACACAACATGTGTGACGTGCACTTGGGCTCATTGAGGCCACGGCCATTAAAAAAAAAAATCGCGAAAAGCAATGCTGTCAGAGCCAGGAATTTAGTAGTTTCACGGGCTACCTTACTTTTTTTTGGCCGTAGCGACATTTTAATCTGACCTTGGCACCGCATAGTGTGCAGCAGCTGTCAAAATATTTTATCCTCTGTTAGCCAGTGCCCCAACATATCGGGCAAAAAAATCCCCCCCCCCCCCTTTTATCTTCCCACCGCTCGTCCTTAATGAAGTTTTTCATTAATCTATCACACTGCTCATAACACAAACCTTCATGCCTGCCTCACTTTAATAAGTGATAAAACTGCGTTATAATGAGATGGCCAATAGTTTTTCTTCTCACTACTCTACTAGGTGGCATGTGTGTCTGCCATAACCCCTTTTTGTTCTTGCCATGCTTGCTATTGTATGTAAGATACTGTCAACCTCATGCATAGCGTCATTACGGCGAGGGTGTCGCATTGCATGTAGCATTTACACACATATACACACTCATGCACAAAAGCCTTTCTTCAATAGCCCATAGGGAAATTGATAACCAGCATCAGAAAAATAAAACAGTATTATTGAAATAAAAATTGGCAAATAAGTGTTCACTATTCCTTTCGTCCACCAATGTCCTTGGGCATCAGCATAATAATGCAGTTATTTAACTGCACTTACTATCACTGTTCTTCTAATTCTGAGCTGAAATCTGTTGAACTGCACTGTACCTTGCTTGTGCACCATTCTTTGTTTAATTCACTTCTTCATAAATTAGGCATCATAACATCTTGTGCTAAACTAACCCTGCATCACATAAATGTTACAGATTTTGTTTGATCCATCTTTTATTGGGCCTGCTGCTGCTCTCATTTTTCAAAAACTTCTTGTCCAATATACCTGGGTAAAATCATGGAAAGGGGATTTCAGTATATTCAAGTAAAAAAAAAAAGTTGTGTCAGCTTCGCACTACTGGTGGCAAGCCTGAAGGAAGATTGCATTGATTGATTAATTGATTGATTTACCTTTTCAATGAGTGCAGTTAGGCTTTCTTCCTTCTTTCTCTTTGTTTTTCTTCTTTCTTCTCTTTCTATCTGTTTTCTGTATCTTTTTTTTTTCATCTGTTTCTCTCTCTGTCTGTTTCTTTCTTGCTCTATTCAATTTATATCTTTTTCTCGCTCCACTTCTCTATCTGTCTGTATTGCTGTTTTTTCTATCCCTTTCTCTCTCTGTACATTTTTGTTTAGCTTTATCTTTTTGTGTTTGTTTTTTATTTTATCTCTTCATTTTCTCTTCCTTGTTTCTTTTGTCAACTTCTTTATCTTTTCTTTCTTTTTCAAGTGTTCGTTTTTATTTGACACTCGAACCTGGTGTACATGATAGTGGGGCTTGCCCAGTTTCTTTGGAGCTTTCTAGTGACATTGCACAAATTACGGCAAGCTAAACAGTTTCGCACTTAAAATATATTATGGAACCAAATAAATTATCAACCACTTTCAATTCAAGTCTGCTTTTGAAGAACATTTCATCGTATAAAACCATAGACTGCTGTATGTACGCTCACTCTTCACATACTGCCTCACATCGAGACCTTGGTGGTACAAAAACTAAACAACAAACTGCATCACATTGCACTTCATTTACTTTACCAAATTGAATTACTATCTAGCCCAACTGCGTACGTTCTTCCAAAGTGTAGCTTGGATATGGAAGCCTGCCGTCAGTTTCTATGTATTATGTCATCAACATTTTCCTGCCATTGCTGTCAAAGTTTAGTGATGCTCAAATGAAATATTGTGGTCTATACGTTGTCTGAACAGGCCTCGGACAGGTTGAGTGACATCTCGATAGGTGGGCACATCTTCGTCAAAAGTGTTTCATCATTCTTCGCATATTATACAGGTATCGACTTTGACACAGTGACATGATGTCAGTTACGTAATCTACAAAAACTGACATGTCAGGAATGATGAGGCACCTTTGATGAAGATGCGTTCACCTTTGGGAATGTCGGCCAGTTTGTCTGAGGCACTTATTTCCTTTTTGACAACTTGCGTTGTGTTTCCATATGCCAGTTTTCACCTATATCTTTTATTTGAATGCGAGTCTGTTGTTATCGAAGCCTCGAAAGCTCAAGAATTTTGAAGATTGTTTAAAAATATTTCAGTTTCGCTTCCAACTAAGCTAGGTGGATTATGCAGGGTACTAGTGAAACTAGTCAAATCAAATAGGCAAATTCATGGCACAGGGACAAGCTGCTTTCTTCTTTCGCCATTGCTGTTTTGAAGGTTAAAAAAGAATTTAAATAATAAGATGGGGGAGGCGGCTGAGTTAAAGCAATTTTTTTCCTTTGGCATGTGTTAACATTCCTTTGTAGGTTTGTACAAAATGTTTGGTTTGCTGATTGTCAGTCATTTTGGTACTTTCATTTTTAAAAGTACCTTGTGTTACTGAAAGTGCTGCCCCGCCGCGGTAGTCTAGTGGCTAAGGTACTGGGCTTCTGACCCGCAGGTCGTGGGTTCAAACCCGGCTGCAGCGGCTGCATTTCTGATGGAGGCGAAATGTCGTAGGCCCGTGTGCTCAGATTTGGGTGCACGTTAAAGAACCCCAGGTGGTCAAAATTTCCGGAGCTCTCCACTACATCTCTCATAATCATATGGTGGTTTTGGGATGTTAAACCCCACAAATCAATCAATCAATTAGTGAAGGTGCTTTGCAAACCGTGCAAAATTTTCTGTGATACCCACTGTGAACCTCGTTATATAGCATTCAGCATAATTGGAATATATTTTCATTGTACTACTAATGCTCCTGCATTGA